CCCTACACACAATAGTCTCTACCTCTGGAGGTTGTGGGCTCACCTGTACTTCGGCCTCTCTCTCTCTTGCCCAAGAGAGCAGGGAAACTTCCATTAATTTCCCAGTCCAGCCGACTATGGAGTGGCTGGATTTCTGCTGCTCCCAGGGACGAAGACTGCCTTGTGACAGTCCCTGTTTTCCCACACTTTTTGGCCTTGGGGCAACTGGGAACTGTAGGCCAGCAGATGAGGAAGCTCCATTCAACCCAGTGAGTGATACCCCTGCAGGCCTCTCTGGAACTACAGCTCAATTAAACCTTATGGGGGAACATTTTAAACAAAGAACCACAGCCATCTTACAAACACAGGTAAATGCCATTTCGTGACACCTACCAACAGCCACTGAGGGGAAAGTTAGTCCCACACAGGAAAGCGTCTTCGTCAAGAGAGAAAGCCGTTTGCCAGTAATTCTGATGGGGCAAAGTGGCTGAAGGGGGAGTGGGCGGGGAAGAGGAGCAGACCCATCACCCAGCCAATGGCATGCGAGTATTCTTGAGTGGTGGCTGACGGGCCAATGGCTGAGGGAGAGCATGGAATCTTGCCACCCCAAAACAGGATTATTATATAGGAGAGATGATTGAGCAGGAGGAAGCTGTGCAAATCTTTAACCCCCTCTATTGTGTAGTGTAGTGGTTGAGATACTGAGGTACAAATCAGAAAGTGCCTGGTTCCTTCCGTAAATGCACCAGGCAACCTTATGTGAGAGAATTCACTCCCTGTTTGCAACATGGGGACCATACTACTCACCTATAATACAGGCTGTTTCAGTGGTTACACAACAGCACTGGATCCTACTGTCCATTTGCACCAACGCAAGAGTATTTTAATCTGCAGAGGGAGTATTAATTTTCACCAGTTCCCCACTCCCACTGTTGACTCCTATACTGTGTCCAACCTGATACCTGGAAAGGTGTCCCCTGGTCCATTTTGAGGGACTCTAAAGGGTCTAGCAGAGAGCTGAGGCAGCAAATTGCCATTATGCAACAAGAAGCATTGGTTTTATCACAGAGTTTCTGGTCATTCCTAGAGAGGTGTGACATCACCTGGTTTTTCATGGAAGTGATGTCAGGCCATTGACCCGACATGTTCCTAGCCCCACCAGGTCTCCCTAGACATAGCCATCTCAAGATTAAACCAAATTATTCGAAGTTACAATGTATTTTATTATCTATATGGCACTGTCAGTGTGTGTGATGTTTTACAAAGGGCAGGTGGACAGGTCACTGGCCTAAGAGTTCACAATCTAGAACTTGAACCAAGGAAGACAACAAAGATAAGGGAGCAGCAAAAGGCCAGGATAAGTGAGAAGAATGCAATTCATACACTGATTAGCATTCTTCTGAAAGATTGCTCCTCTTCAGCTTCCAAGTGGAGATTATCAGAATATTCTAGACAGAGCAATAATTTTCTGTAGGGGCAATTCAAGATATCTTTTAACAATGTAAAACAAAAGTTAACAATAGATCAAGCAAAGCTAAAAAATGCCTTCTCATTTTTACTGTTTCTGAATTGTTAATATTTTCTAGGTAAAGCATACAAAGATGTTCCAGAATACAGTCCAAGGTAGGGCAAATATTATCGTAGTTTATATTTTATTTCAGGTCAGTAGTCAGTTACAATCTTGCTTTATGTCTGGATAAACAAACTACTACTGTTTGTTATTTACTCTGTTAGATAAAGCTTAGTTTTTAACTGAAAGCAGTGCTTAAGTTAAAGTGCTTTTAACTTAAGAAACATTTCATTGGGAACATTTGGAACATTTGGCTGTACAAGCTCAGGAGAATATATAGGTTGACCAGAAAAGTACTACTGGACATGTGATTGCACTGGAGGCTGTATTTGTATTTTTGTATTTCTCTTCTTTGCCCAGTGGTTAAACTTTGGAACAATTGTTTTCTGGTCTCTATTGCATATTCTGTATATGTATAATTGTATATATTTTTACATATCAGCCAACATGTTCTATTTGTATTAGACCTCTGAGGAAGGCCTGTAAAGGCTGAAACGCATTAGGTCTATTTCATCACCCTTTGTATGTTTTTATATTTGTATATGAGGTATTAATGGGCCCTTATTCGTTATTTAAATTTGTGTTTAATAAATACATGTATATTTTTTAGGTTGGCCCTCTTCTATTCTTGACTAACCTTTATAGGTTCTGAATTCTAGCATTTTCCAGGGCCATACCTCAATTAAGGAAATCTTTGTTGATTAATTGTAATCCACCTATATTGAGTTCTGCAGGCTTAAGAGCATTTTCTTATTGGGGGCCAGGATTTCTGTCAATTCTCCCTCTCATTACAGACCCCACACACTGTTCCCTGCACTGTACTTGATAGTCAGCAGACTCTCAGGAACAACATTGTGGGCAAAGTACATACAAGCTATTGTCAGGGGTCGTTTCGTAGAAAAAGAGCTAGGGGAACTCATTAGCATAACTCATTCGCATATGCCACACCCCCTGACATCACCGGAAGTGTGTCATAAGGCCACACCCCCTGACATCACGGGAAGTGTGTCATAAGGCCACACCCACCACTCAGCTAGTCTTAAAGGTTAGTCTTAAAGGTGCTATTTGTTAGTCTTAAAGGTGCTATTTGAACTCTTGGACTATTTTGCAGCAACAGACTAACACAGCTAATTCCTCTGAATCTAAACCCACCACTCAGGCTCCACCCCCAAAATCTCCAAGGTATTGCCAACTCAGAGCTGGCGAGCCTATCTGATGGCACATGTGGGGGAAAACAAGCAAACCACCCATGTCAGGTAAAAAGGATAGTTCAACACAATTTTATCTATTTTCAGTAACTGGTTTGTTGAGAGAAAAGCAACAACAAGCACATCAGTGAAGACCTAGTACCAGAGTGCCAAAAAGGAAAGCTGTTTGGTAATAGATGAAGTACAAAATATGTAGCTATTCACACCTCTAAGCTGAGTTAGTGTGAGCTAGCTCACAGCTTTTAAGCCTCTGGCTCACATATTTTTCTCTTCACTCAGGAAGGAGGGCTCCAGAGGCAAACTAACTGATGCAGTAGCCAAATCACTCGCTCACAGCTTTAATGCCAGTGGCTCACAAAGTAGAAATTTTGCTCACAAGACTCCACATCTTAGAGGGAACATTGGTAGGCAATTCCAGGGAGAAAAAACAGCTATAAACCAAGACCAGC